TAGACGAAGCCTGGGACTTTTGATCGTAAACTTTACAGAAGAAAGAAGGGACCTGACATTTAATTATTGAAGAAAGTTTGGGAGGCTTTTCCTCTCTTCTAGGGGTTATTGACCTGACATTGTAGCGTCTCATTGGTTGAATTGAAAGAAAGCAGATTAGCAGAAACCAACTAAGGACTACTAGGGTTAAGAACCTTTAGTTAAGTTTTCACTAGTTTTTTTTTTTTTTTTTTTTTTTTTTTTTTTGCTGTGTTGTGGTTTGTTGAACTGTGTATCAAAATTTAATCTGATTATAACCTTGTTGAATTCAAAATGAGTGAACAGATTACACCATCGAAGAAAAGAAAATGGTATGCTCAGTGTTTCAAAGAGGAATGGCAGTATTGGTACCAAGTGAGAAGCATAAAAGATGGCCTAAAATGTAAAATATGACATTTTATCCGCTTTTATGACCAATCTCACTATTTTGCCTCACTCGTCAGCAACGGTTGAACGCATATTTTCCCTGATGATCTGTGTCAAAACTAAACAAACTAATTCTCTGAAAGCAGACACTGTAAAAGATCGAATTCTTGCAAGGCAAGCAATCACAAGAGGAAATAGCGACTGCACGACATGGACACCTAATAAAGAATTGCAAAGTGGCGCAGTTAGTCAAAGATATTTAAACAGAATAAAAAAAAACAGAAAGAGACGGTGACAATTGAAATTGGCGAAGAAGGAGAGCTGTTAGAGTAACAGTTTAATAAAAGTGGGTATATGTTCAGTTTCATAACTATAAAATACTTTTTGCACAGTCCTGGGTTTTTTATTTTATTTTTTGTTCATATCTTGGGTTTTCGTCAGCCCCATCTGGGTTTTTGACAAAAATCTCATTGGCAGCCCTGCCACGACAAGGACACGCTTTCATGGGGGCATCGCTCTTGTGGGCAACTTTCACCTTTATATGCTTTCTCTGGCTTCTCCCAGCTCCGTTTGTGTGTTTCGCTGATTGTGGGCCTCTTCTAGTCTCAGCATAACTGAGGATTGTCGTCACTTTAGTAAGAGAGAGGCTGTGGATGTACGCGGGTAGACTCGACCCCGACACGTAAGCGACCGACCGAGCATGTGATGTGTAGTTGTTGTTCCCGTGTTGTACAACACAGCCACCAGTGGACCCCCAGCCAGTCGTTGTGTTGCTTTGTTGTTTCTGCTTGTTTCACGGATAACCAAACCTCAGTCAGTCTTCGTCTACACTTGGAGTTTTTACTGCTGGATAACAAATATAAACAAGATTTTAGTGCCGTTGATAACAACCATAAACTATCAACATCATATGCGAATGAAGGAGATGTTAATAACTTCCTGTGGTCTTGAGTGAAACAGCAAGTTTGTTTGTTTGTTTGCCTGCCCTTCCTTTGTTATTGTTATTGTTATTATTGACGCTTTTTTAAAATGGTAACTTTATTGTTATTCCGGGATTATCAAGGAGTTCCCAATCAGTATAAAAATGTTAATTAGCAATTAATTTTATTGCTTCCGCGAGGAGCACGTATTTGTCAATTCCAAATTATTATTTAGCCACAAATAAAAAGACACAGACATCAGTTACAGTAGTTACACTGATCAGGATTCAAACTCTATCCATTCGTCTGGCTGCTAAATACGACAAACATGCTGTGATTCCTGGCCAGTTACAATGGGAAGGTGAGTGAACGTTAAAAAAACTTAGGATTAAGTCAGTAACAAGTAACAACCAACAAAGACAAAATGGGGGGGGGGGGGGGGTGCTGTGTGAGTGGTCTTGAGGTATAGTGTCCGCCTCGAGTCCCGGGTTCAAGCCCCAGTGAAGGCTGGGATGTTTTCATGTGGACTTCAGGCAATTTCATCTGGTCTCTGGGTAGTGAAATCGGACGACACCGTGTGTGTATTGTTGCGCACGTAAAAAATAGCCTAATGGCGCTGTCTGGGCAAAATTTTGAGTTTAAAATCTACCCAAGCCCAATGCATTTCAGGATCCTCAGGCATGCTACAGAGTTCGTGCACTGCGCTGAGATTCTTCAGACTCAATCTTGAATTGAAAGTAGAATGGAGCACTGATGAGTTACACCCATGTGCCATGATGTTGATCCTTTAAATAAACATAAAGACAAAATAAACAAGTCAATTCATTGAAAGAAAAACATTTTAGCAAACATGGAGCTTGTGGCAACAGTGTCTGTTGAGACTGGACTGTCGAGTCCAGTGTGAAAGTGACAGTCTCTGCAACATAGTCCACATGAGAATGTTGACACACTCTGTCATTCTGAGACTGGTTTTCTCTGGCAAGTCTCTCTATAGCTTGCTGTGTTAGGCCTCTTTCAGACTCAGTGTGACAGTCCATCTTTCACTGTCCGCCCCGAACCCTGTGTCTGTGTCAGTATTGACATCTTTTAGGTCGTGTTTGCATGTGTCATTGTTCTTGCTTTGGCCTTCCTGCTGGTCTGTTCTGCTCTATGTGGTGCCCAGTCTAATTTAACTTTTATTATGTAGCCAAACCATTTAATTCATTGTCTATCCATAAAGTTCACTATTGGTTCTGTGCCAACTCTTCTCCTGAGATCATTGTTCCTATGTCAATCTCTCCTTGTTACGCCTAGCATAGTACGTTAACATTTCATTTCTGTCGTGACTATTTTCCTTCTGTCTTCTGAAGGCGGGGTCCTTGTTTGACCTTGATGGCAGGTCACGAGACAGTCTAATATTTCAGGGGGTGGTAGATAGACTGCTAGCAGTCGTGGGACCTAGGCTGCACTCTCTCGTGAGATGTTGGGGGTTAGGGCCAGTTCTAGATGTTTTGGGGGTGGTTAAAAGCATCAGGAAACCCTGTTCTATCACTGTCTAAAATGCAGGACTGTCCTATGACATCATCTAGGGTGGGATATTAATAAAGCACCCCCCCCCCCCCCCCCCCCCCCCCCGTGTGGGTTCCAGGGCCCCATTGTGGGGAAAACAAGAATAGACCCACTGCCTCCCCAAAAGCATGTCGTAAGAGTCGACTAATTGGGGAGCTTCCTTTGAAGTCGGAGTGCATCTGCCGGAGAGGCAAGGAACCAACAGTCTGTATTCAAGAGAATGAGATCTGTAAAACTGATGCACACGCAACACTCAGGTTCTGGAGCAGGACTGCAGTTCAGTAGTGGACGAGCAACCAGAACCTTCCGCCAGAGTTTACAGCTGGTGAACGCGAAGAAGAAGAAGAAGAAGAAGAAGAAGAAGAAGAATAAAGCACCGAATATTGTGTTGTACAGTGTTCTTTAAGTGTTTATATTTACATGATTGCATTTCAAAATTGGTGCCTTTTGGGCTTAAACTTGACTGGCTTTGTTGCATATTTGTTGGATTTCTTTATTATTTCTTGTCTTCTAAAAAATGCTCCCCAGATATATAAAATCCTTCACCTGTTTTAACTGGTGTTCATCAATTTTGATATTGGGGTTCTTTCTTTTCTGGAGAATGTCATCACTTCTGTTTTGACTAAGCTGATCTTCATATCGTAGTGGTCGCATTCTGAGTGGAGTCTGTTAATATGTTCTTGTAGTTGTATGCTGTTGATGCTATGATTGCCTGTTTAGTGCAGCTTTTTTCTTTCACAAATCCTCTTTTACCATAATGAAATAATTTTAGTTTTTTGAAAAGGACATTTGAACACTTTAATTAATTAATTCTTGGAGTGTTTATGAACATAGTGCAAAGGTTCATTAACTGGTGCCTGCTTAGAAAAGAGGGAATAAATGGTGAATAAAATGACTAATTTGGAGCTTTGAGACAGAATTAACAAATTCCGTGAATCAGAGGTGAGAAAAAGATGCTGTCATTGGATAGGACAGACATTGAGAAAATCTGATAATAGTGTAACTATTGTGAATGTGTGTACTAGAACTTACAAGATCAAAGGAATAATGGTAGACTAAATAAAACCATACAAAGCAAATTAGATCATGAAGAGGAACAGAGGGAAGGGACATAGGTGAGCTACACACAATAGCAGCAAGATAGGACAACACCTCCTTAGTTAGTTGAGGGCCTATGCTCCATTAGATGAATGTGTTAACTGCCAAAAAATCTTTGGGGCTTGGTTACTTTTTTGGGGGGGGTCTTTTTTGTTATACAGTTAAGAACAAAACATACACATGCTTACATGCACACACACATGCTTACATGCACACACAAATGCTTACATGCACACATACACATGCTTACATGCACACACTTACATGCACACATAAACACACACACGCTTACATGCACACACACACACACATGATTACATGCACACACAAACACACACATGATTACATGCACACACGCATGCTTACATGCACACACAAATGCTTACATACACACACAAACACACACACACCTACATGCACACACAAGCACACACAAACACACATGCACACACAAACACACACAACGGGTGGAATGAATGAGAGTGGAGGTTTTCTCCCCACCAGAAACATTTAGAAAACAATCTGAAACTTCTCCAAGGTCTTCCTACTCTGCTCTTCTCCCCCACTCCCACCCCCAACTTTCTCCTGAAATTTGCTTGTCATATTCTAAGATTCCTGCTTTTTGAGTTTATTTGAACCATGTTTGGCTAGTTTTGATGTAGAAACTGAACTGCTAAACTGTCACACACCTAGGAGGTGAACAGTGTTTGTTGTTACTGGTTTGAAATCAGGTTACAGAACTTTCTCATGTGATACATCCTGAAAGACATTCCTGAAGTTCTCTGAGCCTAATCACCAAGGTGACCCTGAGTTTTAAAGCCACGATTGATTATTGATAAGCTAGCATTTTAAAAAAAAAAAAAAAAAACACAAAAAAAGTTGTTGCACACATTGTTGTTGTTGTTGTTGTTGTTGTTGTTGTTGTTGTTGTTAAGAATATGCCTCTAGTTTTACTGCAATAATTTTTTTTTATGTGAGCATATTTGTTTGATTTCAGAACAAAGCACAAAGTGAAATAAGACGTCTGCAATGAAGGTCAGTCTAAAACGTATGCTGGCTTACCTGGGCCTGCGGTCTGCCTACTCATCATCTTCTCAGGTGTTTGTCAGCATCAGTGTGATCAGCGCCATGCCGCGGTCTCGACTGTCACGGCACGCAACCAAGGTCATCGTCAGGGTCAGCATTTGGACCTGTGTGGTGTTGGTGCTACTGTTTCTTGTGACCTACACTCTCTTGCTGGCTTTCGTTGACAGACAGATGCACCAGGTTCCACTTGATGTGCCATACAAGAAAGTTCGACTCCTAAACAGACTCTATGGTAAACAAAGCTTGAGGAAGTTGCCTGCGGGAAACAACCCCTTTCATCCAGAGAGGCTGTTAGCTCACAGGAAGGCTATATGGAATTCAAGTGTTTACTACAGTAAAAATGATGTTCTTCCTTCGTGCAGTCAGCCTTTCATTCTGTTTCTAATTACCTCATCACCACAGCATGGTGATCGAAGAATGTCCATCCGCCGCACCTGGTGCAACTCCATCAATGCAACTGCATCAGTCAAGCAGCCGTGGACATGTATATTTTTGGTTGGTATTTCCAAAAGTGCCGAAATGCTGGCACAGATACTGAAAGAGAAGGAGCTGTACGGTGATATTCTTCTAGGCAGCTATGTCGATTCATATGTCAATTTAACACTGAAAGTTGTCCATGGCTTAGACTGGAGTGCAACTCACTGCCCAAGTTCGTATGTAGTTAAAACAGATGATGATTGTTTTGTGAATGTCAGACTGCTGTATGAGTTTCTGCTTCGGTATAATGTGAAGACTTCAGCTCTGTATGCTGGCAGTGTGATTCAGGACAACGCCAAGTTAAAGGTGATCAGGGGCAGAGACAAAAAATGGGCTGTAGGGTTCCAGGAGTACCCTGAAGAATACTACCCACCTTACGCTAGCGGGTTTGGTTATATTATGTCGGCTGATGTAGTGAAACTGCTGGCGTCAGAGAGCAGGTTTATCGTGCCATTCCCCAACGAAGATGCTTACGTTGGTGTACTTATATCCCGCTTGGGCATCTCTCCAGTCAGCAGCAGCAGATTTGTATTAAGTCCCAGTGGGCTTAACGTATGTAACTATTTATTTGTGTTTATAGTGCATCACGTGCAGGAAGCAGACCAGCTAGCACTCTTGCAAAAGACAGTAGAATCTAGGACAGTTTGTAACCATTCAGCAATAACAACATGGAGCTGAAGTTCTGACTGTTATGTCACACTTGTGTATGTTTTGTATTCAGGGGCACCCAGATCTGGCACAGTATTCGTTATAGTCTAGGTGGTGTTCATGTGTTATAGTCTAGGTGGTGTTCATGTGTTATAGTCTAGGTGGTGTTCATGTGTTATAGTCTAGGTGGTGTTCATGTGTTATAGTCTAGGTGGTGTTCATCTGTTATAGTCTAGGTGGTGTTCATGTGTTATAGTCTAGGTGGTGTTCATGTGTTATAGTCTAGGTGGTGTTCATGTGTTATAGTCTAGGTGGTGTTCATGTGTTATAGTCTAGGTGGTGTTCATGTGTTATAGTCTAGGTGGTGTTCATGTGTTATAGTCTAGGTGGTGTTCATGTGTTATAGTCTAGGTGGTGTTCATGTGTTATAGTCTAGGTGGTGTTCATGTGTTATAGTCTAGGTGGTGTTCATGTGTTTTGGTCTAGGTGGTGTTCATGTGTTATAGTCTAGGTGGTGTTCATGTTTTATAGTCTAGGTGGTGTTCATGTGTTATAGTCTAGGTGGTATTCATGTGTTATAGTCTAGTTGGTGTTCATGTGTTATAGTCTAGGTGGTGTTCATGTGTTATAGTCTAGGTGGTGTTCATGTGTTATAGTCTAGGTGGTGTTCATGTGTTATAGTCTAGGTGGTGTTCATGTGTTATAGTCTAGGTGGTGTTCATGTGTTATAGTCTAGGTGGTGTTCATGTGTTATAGTCTAGGTGGTGTTCATGTGTTATAGTCTAGGTGGTGTTCATGTGTTATAGTCTAGGTGGTGTTCATGTGTTATAGTCTAGGTGGTGTTCATGTGTTATAGTCTAGGTGGTGTTCATGTGTTATAGTCTAGGTGGTGTTCATGTGTTATAGTCTAGGTGGTGTTCATGTGTTATAGTCTAGGTGGTGTTCATGTGTTTTGGTCTAGGTGGTGTTCATGTGTTTTGGTCTAGGTGGTGTTCATGTGTTATAGTCTAGGTGGTGTTCATGTGTTTTGGTCTAGGTGGTGTTCATGTGTTATAGTCTAGGTGGTGTTCATGTGTTATAGTCTAGGTGGTGCTTATGTTTTATAGTCTAGGTGGTGCTTATGTTTTAAACAGAAGGTTGCTGACATGTCATGCTTCTGTTTTTATTGAACTGTTGCTACTTACATGTTATTTTCGATTTTAAGCACAAAAGAGTGGAGGGGATACAAAATATGGAAGGATCACCTATAGACATTATTTGTGTTCAAGTTTATTCACGTGGACATTCTGACAGTTCTGATGTCCATCTTCGAGATCATGAATACGCATTTTTGTTTTTATTTAAATTTTCCCTCCAGAAATATTGCATCTGAAAGATTACCGCCCACTGACTCAAAAAGCCACTATTCTAATGAGAATCTGACAGGAGCAGATTCAGAAACCCTATTCAGCTCTATGAATTGGTTATGTTACGATAGTAGACAATTATGAATTAACCTGTAGTTCATTATGGCTGAGCTGGTGATATAAATGATCTTATTTTACTTAATATGGCCATTTTGAATATTTATTTAGTGTTTGTTTTTCTGCAACGGCAGGATGTTGTCGGCTGCCACCGCTGGAATGGTATGTGGGCACTATAGGTTAACGTGTTACTGGACACATGTCGAACATCCCTAAATGTGGAGTTGTAAAGTGGGCTGTGTAGACAGAACATGTCTTTGTTTTAGTGTTTACTTAATGTGGAGTTTTAAAGTGGTCCGTGTAGACAGAACATCTTGTTCTGGTGTTTACTGAATGTGTTGTAAAGTGGTCCATGTAGACAGAACATGTCTTCTTCTAGCTTTCAATGAATGCGAGTTTGTAATTTGGGTCGTACAGAGTGTGAGACAATTCTTAGTGTTCCTTGAATGTGAATGTGTTACTTGTACCTGTCTTCAGCTTTAAAAATCCAGCTTTAAAAAATGTAACTTGACCCTTGACCTTGATCCGCATATATATATATAGAGATGTCAGTAGCTCAAACATTAGCAGCATTTCATAGGGCGAAGACTATTGGGTGTATGTATCTGTCAGTTGAGGTGTGAGTTCTTCACAAGCTGTATTGAACCATTCTGATGACAGGAAGTGAATCGTAGGCAGCATAGCAGTGAGGGGGTCCCTGTGGTGAAAGCAATTGCCTCGCACTCTGAAGGTCGCCGGCTCATTTCATGGCAGCGTCATTCGGTTCGCAAGTGGAATTTTGCAGAGATCAGTGGGGATCATTGCCGGAGCTACTGACACAGCACAGCAATCGACGTAATTGGGCATGTGAAGGGTTCCACATAAAAAAAATAAAGTTGGAATGGAAGAGAGGCAGTGGGAGATCAATCAGAAAGATATTAGATGAGTTCGCATCGTAGCAGTGAGAACACTACTAGCTGTACATGGGATAGAAGGCTGTGGTCAAAGATAGTATTGAATGTTATGAGGGTTGATTTTTGGAAGAAGAAGATTAAGGTGTCAGATTGTAGGTAGATAATGATAATTTCACAAGTCATCTTTATGTTTTTGTAATCTTTTGTAAAGGGTATTCTCAAAATTGTGGAGGGAAAGGAAATTAAGAGATTATCATTAAATGTTCTGAAAAATGAATGTATGGTGCTTTCCATGAAACATTCCATTAAGATTTATATACAGTAAACAAACAGCTGACACATTTTCAGTTACCAGGCTGAATTCTGACAGTTGTCATGTTGGGCTTTTGACAGTTGCCAGGCTGAACTCTTGACAGTTGTCAGGTTGAACTCTTGACAGTTACCAGGTTGAACTCTGACAGTTGTCAGGTTGAACTCTTGACAGTTGTCAGGTTGAACTCTGACAGTTACCAGGTTGAACTCTTGACAGTTGTCAGGTTGAACTCTTGACAGTTGTCAGGTTGAACTCTGACAGTTGTCAGGTTGAACTCTTGACAGTTGTCAGGTTGAACTCTGACAGTTGTCAGGTTGAACTCTTGACAGTTGTCAGGTTGAACTCTGACAGTTACCAGGTTGAACTCTTGACAGTTGTCAGGTTGAACTCTTGACAGTTGTCAGGCTGAACTCTTGACAGTTGTCAGGTTGAACTCTTGACAGTTACCAGGCTGAACTCTGACAGTTGTCAGGTTGAACTGTTGACAGTTACCAGGCTGAACTCTGACAGTTGTCAGGTTGAACTCTTGACAGTTACCAGGCTGAACTCTGACAGTTGTCAGGTTGAACTCTTGACAGTTACCAGGCTGAACTCTGACAGTTGCCAGGCTGAACTCTGACAGCTGACAGCAGATCTGATACTTACATTTGAAAAAAAACAAAAAACTGCCATATGCAAAGATTTTCTTATCAGGAAAACTGAACTGTTTTGTTATGTGCGTACATTTTCTTAGAAAAGTTGTGTTGTCTGTTCATCTTGTGATGTGAATGATGGACAATGAGTAATGAAATAGTGAGAGGGAAAAAACCCTCGCCAGAGCATGGGTGAGTTTTTAGAGTGATGAGAGTATTGTCGATGGGCTGCAGATGTTGAGAGGTCACACATCAAAAGCCTAATTGCTGACTGGTGCCGTATCATGCACCGCCGTCTTTGGGTTGTGTAGTTGAGAAAATAGATGGTTAAAGTTGGGTAAAGCTAAATTTGAGAAACACACTTAGTGTTATTAATCCAACAATCTGGTGATATCAAAATATCAGTTACAATATTGAAAGAAATATTTGTTACTTATAACAACCAGAATCAACATTTCTAGATTTTTTATTGACAATTTATTGTACAGAATTGCTGAAATATCAGCATTGTTTTCAGTACTTATCATGGCTGGGATGTTCTCACATGTGTTGTGTCAGGTCGGTGAAGAAGTGGTCAGGCTGACTGCTTTGCTGTCTGGATATCGTGGGTTTGTTTCAAACTGGGTAATTTTCTTCATGGGAATGTTTTTTCTTGATTCCCCGGGGGTTGTCATTGGTGCTGTGGGGTTATGTTTTGTACAGTTTTCTCAGCGGCTGCCTGCCACTCTTTGGAGAGAGGGTGAGCCAGATTGGATTAAACCCAGTGCAAGGAAGTGAATCGTCCTGCCTTAAAACCTTGGTTTTAAATATCAAGTAATTGTTTGATAGAAAAGTGATCCTTCACCTTCAGTGACAATGTGTCGGTGATAGACTTAAATCCAAGGAAAGGTCTTGTCTCTATATTTTTTCATTGACACATTCAAACAAGCACATTTTTAAACTGCAGTCAAGTGTTCCTCAGACTGGTTTCTGATGAAAGTTCTAAAATAATAGAATTAAACTGAATTGTTCAGTGTTAAAAAAAAAACAAATACAGTTGGTGCTATATTCTTTACAGGATGTTTTAGAACCAGCCCTAGCAGTTTGCTGTTTTTGCTGTTTGCGAGTTTGCTAAACTAATGTTGATGACAGTTTCATGTTTGTGCCTGTCATTGTGACCAGCTTATGGTTCAAGTTCTGAAGTAGTTAATGAAGCGTGTTGAAAAAAATCAGATTAAACTATCTGAGAAAGATACTGAACATCAAGTGGCAAAACATGGTTCTGTATACTGTCGCATTGAATAGAACTGGCATTTATAGTATCGATACCATCCTGATGCAGTCGCAGTTCCGTCAAGCAGGTCACTTTGTCCACGCGCCTGACCATTGAAAGGGAGACACTGTCATGGTAGCTAGGAAAAAAGGCTTCAAGGACATGCTCAATGTAAAACTTAGAGCCTTAAATATAAACCCTGACACCTACGAGGCTGCTGCATAAGACTGGACTACATGGCAAACCTCTGAAGAGGCACAGCGACTTTAGAGGCATCTAGAAAGAGGCAGCTGAACTGCGAAGACAGGCTAGAAAGATCCATATAACAGGCCCTTTATTTACAGATACTTTTCCCCTGCCCTCATTGTTCTAGATCTTTTTGGGCCTGTATTGGGCTTATAAGTCACCTCCAGACTCACTGACAATCAACTGTAGTTTTATGAAAGATTTAAAAAAAGAGTGATTCTCATCACTAAT